TCTCAAATTTGGTAACGAATTTCAATATGACCCTGAGGCAAAAGTGTTTCAGTTTATTTTCCTGCATAACATATTTGTTTTTTCAGATTTTTTTGAATTTTTTTTTTTTTGCTTTTTTTCTGTACGTACGGCCCGTACGACCACAAGAGCCCGTACGTACGGTCGTACGTACGTACGTACGGCCCGTATTCGTACGGGGGTATACACAGGGGTTAACATAATCAAATCGGTTTATGAAATCTCGCTCGAAGGTCGGGAGATTCACCCATACATAGGTACTATACCAATGATGAGCGTCTCCTCCCATTCGAGCCGGAATGTTGATCTGTGCTTCGTGATCATCGTACTGCTGTGATCTATGCTTGGCCAGCCATGCTCCTGCGAGATGGTGCGCCGGATCAAATAGATAGAGATCTGGTGGCGACATGGGAGCTCGTGCACGTGGGGCAGGTTGATTAGGTGGATTAACATTTTGTTGCGGAACCGGATTTTGCACATTGGCAGCCATATTGGCTGCTCGTCGGTTAGCTGATCTGCTTCTGGTGATGATAGGGTCGCGTCTATGCGCGTTCCGAGGGCGAGGTCGCCCACGGTTAGCCAGATCGCCTAATTAACGTGCTATCAATCCTAAGACCCTAGCCACGTGTCGGGCTCCGATACCAACCTCACGCCCAGCGCGACTTCCTGATTGGAGTGGGGTGTGGGCCTGGAAGTGCGAAAAGGGGTGTGCCAAGGATTTTTGGGAAAGTGGGGGAGTCTTAAGGGTATGAATGCAATTAGGCGAGTGAGGGGTGCGTGTGCAAGGGACTCACGGTCCGATGGGGCCGGGGCACTGTGGGCGACGGTTTACGGGGAACTCCCTCAGCGGTGGAGGCGGTCCCGAAAAGTTAGGCCGTCGGGGGCCGCCACGTGGCGCAGGCCGCCGCGTACCTGGGTGGGGCCTTCGGAATTCCGGAGTTCTCTGTTCGCCGCTAAGTCGGCAATTCACACAAAACGCATTGGGCCAATAGGGGGCTATGGCTGGCCACGAAACGACACTGAGTTGATGATACGGGAGAAGAAGGCGGAAAGGAGGGCAACTGGTGGTGATGATAACAAATCCCGGGTGGGTGAAGTAGTAGGTGTGGTCGGGGGAAGGGAAATCAGAGCACCGAGGGTCGCTAGAGGTGGCCCAGTGGAATTCCCGCGGACATAGTCGATTCTCCGTGTGACAGGGGTATTGCGTCCTTATGAGCTCGTTTATCAAAGGGGTGAAGTAGTCCGGGTCGTAGGATGAGTCTGAGCTCCAAGATCGCGTCATG